TCAATCACTTGTGGTTCGGGCTTTGGGTTTCCACTTCCAAATCTGCTTCGAGTGCCCACCATGTCGATCTATACACCAAGTCGGACGTTCGTTGTAGAGTGACGAGAATTTAGATAGAGAAGATTTTATTTACGATCAACGTGTAAATCTCCCTAATACTCCGAAGAGTTACATGCCAGTTCTAATACCGTAATTAAACGTTTAGAAATCTGAACACATAAAATTTCTAGATCCGGTCGGTAACAGACCATAGATCCGATCAGATATTTAGCATCATAAATCATGTAGCACATAAAAGCATTTTAGGGATCTTCCCTAATTAAGTTAGTGTTTGTGTCTATTCAGGTGTACTTCCTAATATATTAGACACACTCCTCACGATCATCGCTTAGCATTCTAAGTTTAAGTCTAGAAATAAATCCATATTCCTAGTTCGCTTAAACTAATGCTCTGATACCAACTGTGACATCCCCATTTTCACGGCCAGAAAAGACCGATTTTGTTTATGCTTTATAAAAAGCAGAGTACTTCCTTTAATAAAAATGTTGCGGAATTTGTTCCAAGAAAAACATGATAAATGCATTATCAAAGCATTTCCGAAGAAATGTATCTTTATTCATTTTAAAACCTTGGGATGTCATTGTCAATACAGAAACATAAGCATAAACAGAACTTACATTCATTATCACTAGTGATTTATATCTCCTTAATCTCTCAGTGTAATGTGACTTCATATCAACACCTGTGATATAAATAAACTGAGTGGGTCAGGTTGGGAAACCTGGTGAGTACATAGGGTTTTCAACCCACAATAATATAATTATTATGTTTAATCATCAAATAATTAACCCAATTACCCATCCCCATTATCTTATTTACTCTTGAGGATCTACCCTAAGAATCAGCTATTTCTTGTTCATTCATTCCTAAGGATCATCCTAAGGAATAGACACGAAATCCATCGTTGCCAGGGTTTACTCAACGGGCACTAAATCCATAGTTGTCGGGGTTTACTCAGCAGGCACTAAATCCATAGCTGCCAGGGCTATTTCGTTTATCAACAGTATCGTTTCCGAGAATCCACTCGCAATACATGTCAATGGGTTTTTAGAGTACACCGGTGAACACATCGTTCACAACACCTACAGGTTGCGAGCCTGCTAGTGTTCCACTGGACTGTCTAGAATAGTCTGTGGTTGTCATCCATACTCTGCTAGATGACAGGGCCAACATTTGGGAATAAGGCTTCTCACATCGTCCACCTCTCACCCTTACCTCATGGTCTATATCACCTCTCAACTCATCATCCAACTCATATTTCATCTACCCATGTTTTACCCAACATATTATGTAGATATAAAATACATATATAGTTTAAATCATTTAAAACATGTATAAAATTGTTCATCCAACATAGATAGCAAGTATACAGATAATATTCACACATAGCACGTAATTTATATTAAATACTTCATATCTATGTGTAAGATGAAAGTAACTATGCACTCACCTGAAAAGGTGGTGATTCTGCCTTCGAACAGCGCTTCGTTATCTCAAACCAATTATCCCTCGATAAAACCTAGTATCAATATCACTAGGGTTTAGTCTAACGTTAACCGCGACTAATTAATAGTCTAGCTATTATTATTATTATATAAGCGTTAAACAACACTATATAACTCATAATAATAGCCCAAATAATTATTTTAAGGTCCTAATCATGTTACTATATTAAAACATAAGCTATACTAAAGATAGGGTAGGCATAGCTCACTTACAGCGGGTTTTTCGCAAAAACTGGGCTTCGCTGGAGCAGCGTTTCCAAGCCGAAAGACTCTTTTCTCAGGACTCCGGGAGCCTCGGGGCTTCCTTCGGGTGCTAGGGGGTTTACCTAGGCTTTATGGGGCTTAAGGGGAGCTAGAGAGAGGTTCTAGAGAGATAAAGAAGGCTTGAGAGGTGTGGAGAAATGGCAATGCCCGGCACCTCTATTTATAGGCTGAATTCCAGATGGACTCGCCGAGTCGGTGGCATGTGTCATCACCTGATGGCTTTTCTTGGGGAGAAAGCCTTGGCCCATATTCAGCCACATCACCCCTTTTCAGCAGCACCCTGCCGACTTCTAAACCCCGTAACTTTCGCATACGACCTCCGTTTTCGACGTTCTTTTTTTTTCCACGCGTAGGTAAAAACAAGATCTACAACTTTAATTTTGACTCCGTCGGCTAATTCTCGACCGATCTTAAATTTAACAGTAGGAGGAGATTAGACTGTTAAATGACCGTGAAGAATTCGTAACTCCTTCATACGGACTCCGTTTTCGTCTGTCTTTTTATCGTTGAGTTCCTATTAATGAGATCTTCAACTCTCATTTAGGTTGCGTAGGCCAAAAACCGCTCAAACTAAAATTCGAGTTTCGGGCTGTGCACTGCTATGCCAAATCTTAGAAAATTCATAACTTCCTCATACGAAGTCAGATTTGGGCGTTCTTTTGATGGATGTTCTCGGTTTAACATATTCTACAACTTTCATTCAGATTGCTAATGCTAAAAATCACTCTATCGTAAATTCACTATTTACGTCTCCCGGTGCTGTGCCGGTTTTGCCGTAAAACTTCGACGGGCCATAACTTCTTCATTATAACTCGGATTTCGGCGTTCTTTATATGTACGGAACCCTTGAGACATATTCTACAACTTAGTTAAGATTATTTATTCTAAATAATCTTTTGTCGAAAAGTCGTTTTCCACCCCTATTATCTCTAAATTGACTAGCCCAGATCTACGGGCGTTACAACGACAACCACGGTCTGCCACCCTCCGGGATTCCGCCATCAAGCTGCCGCCAACCACCGCTGCTAGGTGATGCATGGTGTGTGCAATGCATGTGTGTCTTAGCTTCAGCCAATTGTTTGGTGTTAATATGTGTTGTGGGTGTTTTGTCTAGCCGGAAAAGTCACCGACACCACTCGCCACCGCGGGCCACCACAAGGTGGTTATGTTTGTGTGTGTTTTTAGCATTAGTGTGTGTGTTTATTTTGGAATTTGGCATTGGAAATTGTAACAAAAATGGAATAATGGAAAAAAAGTCAAAACCACCACCGTGAGGTGGTGGTTGCCGCCACCGGCCGCCGTTTCGGGTGGCGGTGTGCCTTGTTTGGATTGTGACTCGTTTGGATGTTTGGAAAAAGGGACTAAAACCCTAATGGGCCCAATGAAGCCTAATGGGCCTAATAAACCCTAGTGGGCCCAATGAAACCCTAATGGACCTAAAAGCGCAAACATTTGACTAATGGGCCTAATAAACCTTAATTGATCAAAAGACCTAGCTATTGGGCCTATTAGGCTAAGATGGGGTTGGAAACCCTAATTAGGGTTTAGAAAACCCTAATATTGGATTTATGGGTTTGGACTTATTGGGACCCACATTTGGGTCATTGGAATGTAAGTGTGTATTAAGCCCAATCACACCATATGAGTTATTTAGAAGAGTGATGGACTTAATGGATTAAGTCCTTAATGGGTTAAGTGAGAAACACTTAACACTAATCGTCATTTTTATGTGAAACCCTAATTTCACTTGGGTTTATTGTTGGGCCTTTCTATTGGGCCTTGATGATTGGGTTATTAATGGGCCATCTAAGATCAAGCAAATGGACTAGAATAATTAATGGGCTTTCAGGTAAGGCCCATATGAGGAGTTGGGCCCAATTTGGAAAATTGGGCCATAGATGGGCCATAGTTTAGGCCTTAATGATTATATGATATTGGGCCAGTAGAATGTCAAAGGTTGGACTGGAATAAATGGTTGGGCCTTAGAGTGAGACCATGTAAAGGTTTGGGCCCAATTTGGAAAATTGGGCCATATGTTGGGCCTTGATTCACAGATTGACCTTTGGGACTTTGGATTGGGCCTTGAGCTTGAATCAAGCTAAGATGGGGTTAAAGTAGTCTTTTACCCCAAGCATGGACTTATGATTTTTGTGTTGGGACCCAATTATTAATTTGGGTGATGTTTGATATTGACAGTTCGAGAATCTGTCAACCAGCAGTTGGGATTGTGTCTACAGGACTTCAGTAGTGTGAGGTGAGTTACCTCCCAGTAGCGGTGGGTCTATGTCCACAATGTCGGCTCACTAGACTAATTTGACTATTTATAGTTAATCACTACACCCCTATAACAAAATTTCTTGAATCTGCCACCAATATATACACAAGGCTAGATGTGTCGTCTTCTTGAAGACCCAAGTTGGCTAAAGAGAGATTCACAATCAATCTGAAAACTCTAATTACTATTAAATATTTATTATTTTTCTTTATCCTATCTACTTTCAATATACACTTTAGCCTGTAGTTCTAATGTAGTAATGTGTTAGACTCATTTTCATTGCTTCATAATAACAAAGCATGGTCTTTTTTGGAAACGACATATATATATATATATATATATATATATATATATATATATATATATATATATATATATATATATAGAGAGAGAGAGAGAGAGAGAGAGAGAGCTAGGTTCATTTGTTTAAACTAAGTATTGTGTTATTGTATGCATAAATGTGGGCCAATCAAAATTAAATAATTAAATAAATAAATAAGGGTAATTTAGTAATTTGTTTAGTAACTTCCAAAATTAATCCCTATAATCATGGTAGACTTTTAACCTAATATCTCCTGTCTAAATCTCGTTCCCCTCTTTTATCTAAAACGCCGATCTAATCTCTCCTGTTTAAATCTCGTTGCACTCTTTTATCTACAACGCCGATCTGCAAAGGAAAAGGGATGCGAGTAGCAGCAGGTGGGGTGAGATCAGAAGAGAGATCGATGGGTGAGACCAGAAGAGGGTCCGACGATAGGTGGGGCTTCGGTGGCGTTGGCTTGACGGAAGAAGAGGAGGTGGGTGCGGGTTCTTTTAGGTCTGCTTCTATCTCTCTTATTCTCCCGCGTTTTAGTATTTTGTGAAGAAGCATAATTGAATCGTTTCGTTGCAGATCAATGCTTCCGACCTCCAATCTCCACCGCCGCCAGCATTCCGATCAGGTAATGAATTTCCTTTCAAAAATGTCGATTTCCAATTAAGATACGATCGCCAAAAGTCCAATTTCCAATCTCATGAACAATTTCGATTTTTGCCTCCGAAAGAATTCAATTTCAGATTCGCTGTTGGTGGGATTATTCGCATCAAGACAACAATTTACAAGACCCAAAAATTTGATTTTTAAACCTCCGATTCTGATTTGAACTCCCGATCGAGCCTAGAACATGAACGCTAGTACTTCGATTTCAATTCGTACGACCGATTTCCGATTGCGAATTTGGGAAATTCCTAGAACTCCAATCGATTTCAACTTACAGGATTGAAATCCAACTTCAATTTCATGAACAACTTCAATTCTTGCTTTATGAATGATATCAGTTTCGCTTGTGTATCTTGAGGCGAGAGACGAACTTTGGCATCTTGATTTGGCAGGTTCGTTTCAAATCTAGTCAATTGATTATGGAACGAAAGTAAATATCAGGTTCGTTCCTTCGCTGGAAGTAACATTTTTAACAGAGGTAATAATTAATAATTAATTAAATATACAAATGCAAAATAGTTTTTTTTAATAAAAAAAGTTCAATTTATGTTCAGATTGAACTGCTGTCAAGACTCCATCACTGCCATGTGGTGTCTGGATGGGGTTTCAGAAAAATGTCTAGACTGGGGGGCCCGCATTGCAGTAGCCATTGGAGCTGCTAGAGGGTTGGAATATCTTCATGAAGCAGCTGCACCAAGAATCTTGCATAGAGATGTTAAATCCACTAACATTCTCTTGGATGAAAACTGGAGAGCAAAGGTGGGAATTAGGAATAATAATTTTTAATATCACATTTGTGAATGTTATTAAGTTTTTTTTGTTGGTAGATTACTGATCTGGGAATGGCTAAGAGTTTGGTGAAATGATTGGTGAAATGATTAACATATGGTATATATCACTTCAATGAACAGAAAAATCCAGCAGGAGTACAGAAGCTCATAGGTGGTCAACAGTTGATCTTGACCACCCTCAGATCATAAACATACAGAACTATAGGTATCCTTAACTCATAATTATTCCCCCTTTTTGACTTTCGACTTATGATTTTTAATCATTATTTACTTATTTTCGATCCTTGAATTCTTGAACCAGCATTTTTTTAGCTACATGGAACGTAGGAGGAAAATTCCATTCCAACAAAATGAATCTTGGTGAGATTCCAATTCTTTTGGAATGGAATCACGAATTCCAATTCTGTTGGAATGGAATCATGAATTCTAATTCTGTTGGAATGGACAGTTCTGTTGGAATCACAGAAGTTGATGCTTGAAGAACGGACCACAAAATTGAAACGGACCACATTATTCTTTTAGAATGTATTAGTCGTTGTTAGATTTTGATGTTTTCTTTCCCATTTTGATTGTTTTTTTAGTTTATTCTTTAATAATAAATGTAAGTATTAACAATTTTTACCCGTATTCTATAAGAAATAATGTATTTTTTGTTTTTATTCTTCTATTGATTGTTCAAGAATTTGTTATTCTACAAGAAGTTTTTAAATTCATGATCAAGAAATAGGTTCAAGAATATTTTTATTATTTATGATTCAAGAATATTGTTATTTTTGAATATACTCATAAACATATTCTGTCAGAATGTCCGAATTAAAAGAATTATAATTCGAAAAATCAGATTTTTAAAATTAATAGAATCTATGATCCCTTAAAAAATGCAATTTTCCTTTATTAAGTCTATATTAATTGACTAAATTACCCTTGTAATTAATTAAGATGATATTTTCAATTATATTTAATTCAATAATATATATTAATCACTTTCTTAAAATATGTAAATTTGATTGGCTCACATTTATGCATTCAATAACACAATAGATACTCTAAACAAAATAACGTAAGCCTATATATATATATATATATATATATATATATATATATATATATATATATATATACCCAAAAAACGATTAGCAAGTAGCTGAATCGGAGGGTAAAGAGTACATAACAGTAAATTACAAGAGAAAATGATTAAAAGGGGAAATGCACCAATCAACCCAATTCCCACAACCAATGAACATTTGCTTTTGTATCGTCGCCTCCCCATAAGAATCGTCGCCTTAGTTTTTCAAGTTCATCAATGATACCAATTGGAGATTTGAACAGAGAGAAATAATAACTAGGAAGGTTGTTGAGAACATACTTAATTAAGGTTAGTCTACCCCCGAATGACAAAGTTTTTGCTTTCCAACCCGACAAATTTGATTGAAATTTATCGATTATGGGTATCCAATGTTTCTTTAATGACATGTTTGCTCCAACCGGTACTCCTAGATAAGTAAAAGGGAAGGTCCTTTCCAAGCAACCCAGAACCTGTGCCTGACTGTGAAGTTCTGAAATAGTTGTGCCGATGCCAAATAGTCTTGATTTATGAAAATTGACTTTGAGTCCGGAACAGATATGGAAGCATTTTAGGATTCGAGCTAGGTTTTTTATACATTTTTTTATGCCATTCACCAACGAAGATAGCGTCATCGGCATAGAAGAGATGGGATAAGAAGGGGCCATTGTTGGGTAACTGGACACCTTTAAGAAGCGATTTGTTGCGGGCACCTTTGATAGAGACATTCAGACCTTCCATGGCCACAATGAAAAAGAAGGGGGAAAGGGGATCACCTTGCCTCACACCTTTGCTAATGGAGAATTCATCTTTGGGAGATCCGTTGACTAGAACCGAGGCTCGAGAGGATGAGAGGCAACCGTGAATCCATTTCCGCCATTTGCAACTAAACCCCATTTGTTCTATCACATAATCGAGATGTTGCCAATTTATAGAGTCAAACGCCTTTTCGAAGTCCACTTTGAACAAAAACATTTTCTTCTTAGATTTCTTGGCCCACGAACAAATTTCATTCATAATTAACGGACCGTCTAATATATTCCTCCTGTTTATATAGGCAGATTGTACTTCATCTACGACAGTGCCTACCACCGGTTTGAGTCCGGAAGCAAGTATCTTGGCGATAATTTTGTAAAGGCATTCGATGAGACTAATGGGTCGATAATCCCCCAGAGCTAATGGGTCTTTGACTTCAGGGATTAATGTTATGAAAGATGAGTTGCATCCACGAGCAAATTGACCATGAGCTTCAAAATATAGTACGAACCGGAATAAGTCATGTTTTATGGTTTCCCAATTGTTTTTAAGAGCCTAGAAAGTAAAACCGTCAGGTCCCGGGGCTTTCTTACCACCACAACACCAAATCGCGCTTTTGACTTCTTCAATTGAAATAGGGGAATCTAAATCACTGATCTGATATGATGAAAGTGATTTGAATAGGTTGCAGATGAGTTTAGGCCTCACAGGCCAGTTATCATGGAACTTGGTAGCAAAGAAGTCATGTACCTCTTTCTTTATCACAGTCGGATCAGCAGACCACACTCCATTTATTACAAGTCCACGCAACCTGTTTTTCCTGTTTTTATTTTTTAACATTCCATGAAAAAATCGAGAATTTTCATCACCGTCTGTTTTCCATCTTATTTTAGCCTTCTGTTTGGAGATCGATTTTCGCAAACCTTTCTACTTCACAAATTTTTTGTTTGCATTTCCTTCTCCATGATAGTTCAGATTCAGAGAGAGTTCTAGATTCCGCCAAATGCTCCAATTCATCCACTTTGGATTTCATATCCTCCAATACTTTCGTTTCCTTTTGGGAGTCAGTAAATCTCCAGTTGCTAATTGCGAGTTTTACATGTCGACTAAACAACTTTGTAAACATCAATATCTAATATTTCATTTAGAACATTCATGTTACGTAATTATGTTACATCTAGTGGGTTTTAGCGAGCTTGTGAAGAACGTTAGCGTTTAAAAAAAAATATTCCAATAAACAAATCAAATTCATGGAACAATGAACACTGCATTAACCTTGCCTTAGTCAACGTGTACTACTTTCAAAATTAAACTGCTACAGTACCAACTAGATTCTTTTGTGGGCCCATCGTCTTTCTAAATTAAAACGTCTCCCTCAAACTATTATCATTATTCGTATTTGGTCCTCAAACTATTGGTTTAATGTTAAAAGTCTCTAACTATGAAAATTGAAAACAAAATTCTATATACTCGGTCATTCTCATTATCTTCTTGGCTCATATTTTTTTATTAACACCTAATGAACACTTGAAAAACCAAAGTATTTTAGTTGGTAAGTAGGTTTATAAAAATATTTAACTATTATTGATCAAATATGAAATATCCTTTGATAAAAACAAGTTTAAGAAAAGTTTTAGTAAAAACCAAATTAAAGATGATAGTTTCATGTGAAAATCAAGAATAAACATGTAAAAGAAACAAAACATTATATATATATATATATATATATATATATATATATATATATATATATATATATATATATATATTCTTACATTTCCTTCACTTATGAGAGATATTAATAACAATTATATTTTAAATATCTTTAATTTGATTATTAATAAAAAAATATTCTCTTTTCTTTTTTTCATGTTTTAGATATTGTAGTGGTAATATTGGTAAATCTATGGTTTAGATTGACACAACGTGCCCAAAAATCAACCATTGCATAATTGAATCCTCCAAAACACCATCCATTCTAATAACATAATAAGAATATATGAAGGAGATGCAAGCATTGTAGATTATATTAATATATTTAGGGACAAAGCCACAATTTTTTTAATAAAATGGCTTTAAAAAGATTCATTTTAAAGAAGAATGACTTAAAATTGATGGTGAACTTTTAGGTATAATTATCTTTAGTTGTTTGTGAACTTGTAGTCCAATTAAAAGAGATAAATTAGAACTCATTTGTCGCCCTACTAGCTCTACCACCGAATATATTAAACTTTTAGATATCTTTATTAATTATAAGAATCAAAGTAGACAGATATACCTATTATCTTTCTTGGTCATTCTCTTAATGATATGTTCGATCCCCAATACTAAAATACATTTATGAAGTTTTTTTTTTTTTGGATTTCTCGAGCATTAAACTGAAATCTCTACTTATATCATGTTATTAAATAACAAAATTACATGTTTATTTGCATTATTAAAATATGTTTATATTTTTTTAACATGAAAATGATCTTTCTGTTGAATCAAATATGAATTGGTTGAACACTTAAAACGGTAGGTTTTTTTTGGATATTGGATTTAAAGTAACAAGGCCTGTATATAACAATTAAACAACTCAAAGGGACTTCATTGTAAATTATTCCTCAAAATTTTACCTTTCTTCTTCCGTCAAAACTCCGTCGACACGAGTACTCAGCACGTGTGACTTCTTTCCTCAGTTTCAGACACATCTGCCTCACTCTCAAACACACACAAACTCCATAGCAGATTGGTGTTTTTTAACTACTTTACAAGCTTAAAAAGGGGAGAAAAGAATCACACTTGTTGCTGCTTTCACCACTGGTGATCGAAGTTGGGAGCTGCCAGAAACCGGAAAACTGACTGTTTCACCGGTTTCTGCCTCTAGAAATTTACCAGATGATTGAAGTGGCATTGTTCATACATCGATCCGTATAAGAAAAGTCAAATTTTGCAGATTAAACAGGAAGTAACTGAGAAGATCTACTTGCTCAGCTTCAGAGATCATTTCCTCGATCTGTCCGAAATTTTCAACGCCCGTTACAATTGAATCAAAGGCATTCAGCAAATTAGTAAGTCTTCGTGGTTACTGATTTTCTGTTTCCTTTATTGAATCGTAAATTTTCGTAGCATATTATATGGATTGAGTTTGTTCTTCAAGATTCAAAGGCGAGGCGATTATCAGTCAACTCTCCAATTCACTTGCCGACAAAAGCGCAGACAAAGGAATCTATAATTTGTGTGAAACCCTGAATTTGCAAATCTACAATGCGATCCTGCAGTTAATAACTTATAGGCTGTACGTTTACAAAGAATTGAATCTGCAATAATCCTTTCCCTAATTATGATTGAAGTTGACTAAGTATTCATTATGCACCTTCTTGTAACATAAATTTACTGAATGTTCTCTAGTCAACTCTGATGATGATGATTCTTTCTTGTGTCAAATAACCTGAAACAATGTGTATTGCATTGTGCAGGATGCAACTCTAGGATTGATTTTTTCGAAGCTCTCATTATTCTGCTTAAACCCTAATATCAAGAATGTTGGACATATACTCTCATGGTCTTAGCAATGACGTGTTATGTTCTTATGCTGCTTGAAATCAACTGAAAGGAAATATGGATGAATACAATCGAATAGATGTGCAAAGAAACTCAGGGAGACAATCATCACGCCCAGTCTCAAAGTCATTATTATCAGGTAAATCAACACCTAGAGGTTCTCCTTCATTTAGAAGATTAAACTCCAGTCGAACCCCTAGAAAAGATGGAAGAACAGGTGGATTTGGTACTAATTGTTTCAAAAGCAACCGAATTGTACTTTGGTTGCTTCTGATCACTCTTTGGGCTTATGCTGGATTCTATATCCAATCAAGGTGGGCTCATGGTGATAACAATGAAGGGATTTTCGGGGGAAATGATTCAAATGATGAATCTGATAAAACCGAATCTGAACAAGTTCATAGAAGGGACTTGAGTGTGAGTAATGACTCATTCACAGATCAAGTTGTGATCAATGTCAATCAGCCTGATGTAAAAAAGACAAATATGGTCAAGAACACCACTCATGGTGTACCACAGTCGCACACAATTATAGCCATAAAGAAACGAACTAAAAGATCAAGGCGTAAACGTGGTAATAAAAAAAAAGGGTTTGGAAACTGAGATTAGTAAGAATCTTGAAATCCAAGAAGAACAACTTCCCAACACAAATGCTACTTATGGGATGTTATTTGGTCCATTTGGTTCAATAGAAGACAAAGTTTTGGAATGGAGCCCTACAAAGCGATCAGGGACATGTGATAGGAAAAGTCAATTTGCACGTCTTGTTTGGTCAAGAAAATTTGTTTTGATATTCCATGAGCTATCAATGACTGGAGCTCCACTTTCAATGATGGAGTTAGCAACCGAGCTTTTAAGCTGTGGAGCCACTGTTTCTGTAGTTGCTCTTAGCAGAAGAGGTGGATTGCTAACCGAACTTGCAAGAAAAAAAATTAGGGTTCTTGAAGACAAAGATAAAATCAGCTTCAAAACTGCCATGAAAGCAGATCTTGTCATTGCAGGTTCAGCTGTATGCTCATCATGGATTGGTAAGAAACTAAGGCCATGTTTGGCGTACTAGCTGTAAAGCTAGCTGTTAGCTAAAAAGCTAGCTGATAACTGAAAAGCTAGCTGATAAAAAATGACGTTTGGTAAAAACTAGCTGATAAGCTAGCAAAAATATACAAAATGAAAAACTAGTTGTTAGTTGAAAAGCTAGCTGTTAGTGGAAAAACTAGGTGATAACTGAAAAGCTAGCTGATAAAAAATGACGTTTGGTAAAAAATAGTTGATAAGTTAGCTGAAATATATAAAATGACATTTAGGATAATGAGTTTTTTATAATTAATTAAGAGTATAGTTGAAATATTTTAAAAAAACTCCTGAAAAGCTAGTCTAAGTAGCTTTTTAAAAAACTGACTTATAAGTTACTTTGTGGTTTGCCAAACATGACAACTTAAAAAACTCGAAAAATAAACTAGCTTATCAGCTAGCTATGGCGTGCCAAACACAACCTAAGATTTAAGAACCTTTTGTAATTCTTTTATAAACTTTGTGTTTTTAAGTTTTTAAGACAATTAGCATGATGATGACAGAACAATATCTTGATCACTCTGTGGCTGGGACACGTCAGCTTGTGTGGTGGATCATGGAGAATCGACGCGAGTACTTTGACCGGTCAAAGCTTGTTCTAACCGTATAAAACAATTGGTTTTCCTTTCTGAATCACAATCTAAACAATGGATGGATTGGTGTAAAGAAGAAAATATTGAATTCAAGTCACCACCCTCTTTGGTTCCACTCTCTGTTAATGATGAACTAGCTTTTGTAGCTGGCATAAATTGTTCCCTGAATACGCCTGCATTCACCACTGAAAAGATGCTGGAAAAAAGATTGATGTTAAGAAAAATAATCAGACAAGAAATGGGAGTCAAAGATAGTGATATGCTTGTGATGGCATTGAGCAGTATAAACCCTGGAAAGGGTCATTTTTTGCTTCTTGAATCTTTAGAGTTGACCGGTGATAAAAGTCAAAGAGGATTGGTTGACCATGGTGAAAGTTTAAAGAAAATGTTGAGAGGGAGTGAAGAAAAAAAACAGGGAGAAGAGATTAAGCTCTTAATCGGTTCAGTTGGGTCAAAGAGCAATAAGGTGTTTTACGTAAAATCACTCCTTAAGTTCTTATCGAATCATTCGGATTTGGAAAAATCCGTCTTATGGACCCCAGCAACAACACGTGTTGCCTCTCTTTACTCTGCAGCAGATGTCTATGTTATAAATTCTCAGGTGACAATTATACCCTTATTTTTTGCATATAAAGCTTTAACTTAAAAAAAAAACATAAAATATGATTGACTGAATAAGCATGAACAGGGGCTTGGAGAAACATTTGGAAGAGTAACAATTGAAGCAATGGCATTTGGTATTCCAGTAAGTCGCTCTAAATTAACATTTTTATGTAAAAAATAGCAACATGATTTTAAACTTTTATAGTTTTATAGTTTTATCTATCTAATTATAATTATACAATTTGTGTGTTTTGATTAGGTGCTTGGGACAGATTCAGGGGGCACGAAAGAGATTGTGGAACAAAACGTAACGGGTCTTTTACATCCAATTGGGCATCCAGGAACAAGCATTCTTTCCAAAAACCTTCAATATTTACTAAAAAACCCATCAGAACGACAGCGTATGGGACTCCAAGGAAGACAAAAAGTTAAAAACATGTACTTGAAAAAGCACATGTACAAGATCTTTTGGGAAGTTCTTTACAACACCATGAGAATAAAATAAACTTGCCCACTGTTTCTCATGATTTTCACTGAAATGACAGAAACAATGAGCAAAATCCAGAACTATTTATATTTTTCGTATTCTTTAATCAAAAGTTATGTTATGTTAAAAAAACAAAATTCGAACTATTATATATTTATATATATAGTTTCTGTACAGTTTTTTATATTTCCAAACAACAACCGGACTGAACGTGGCCGGAATATTCCTCCGGCGTCTCCACCTTTTTCCACGTGTGGCTCTTCAGATCTAACACGTATACCCCATGACTTTTACCAAATCCAACAGATCCAACGGCTAATAACCTTCCTTCGCATCCGATTACACAATGTACTCTATCCAGATCCTTTGGGATCCTCGTTTTAAAAGAATGATCCAGTGCTACGATCACACCATCTTGATACATACACATCACCCCATCACCACCGTCCACGCATGTTCTCGGACACGTGTCAGCTCCTAAGAACTCATCTTCTTTTTTATCCCATCGCCACGTGGAAACATCGAAAGCTTCTGCGCTTGTCCCAAACTTCCCTTGCATTGACGTGTTGTACCCACCAATGACGTAGAATTTGCCACGGTGGAAAGCTCCTTTGCATTCGTCACGCTCGTCTGCCATGTAAGGTAGTATAACCCATCTATCGTCCGCCACGTCATACATCATCCCTGACCGGAGTGCATTCTTTTCGTTATCGTGTCCGCCGCCGACGAACACTCTCCGCTCATTATCCGACGCACATCCAAAAAACGACCTTGTACTCCCTGGCATATCGGACCCACGTCGCCACGTGGCGGAAACGAAGTTATACACAAAAACAAAATTCGAAGCCTCCCAGTTCTCCGGGCTTAACCCGCCCATCACCACAAGATTATACCCGACCGGAGCAATCTGACAAAAATAAGGTAACCCGTCGGAAAACCCAGGGATCGGCGGCAGCTCACTCCAGTCACCCGTTTCCGGCTCGTAAACGGAGAGACGGTAAACCGGTGTAATCATATACTTCCGTAACCCGTGGTTCATGTTCGAATCAAGATGCGACTGCACCATCACGACGATGCGACGGCTCAGCCCGGCGGACTTGCGGTGGTTCCGAAACAGAGGAAGGTCAATCTCCGACTTCCAGCTCCGGCAAACGGAGGCGGCGGAGGAGAAGTGGTTGTAAGGGACGCGAATCAGACACTCTAAACCGACGTCATTGGGGAGACCTGGTATGAGGTCCATGAATTAGGAGTAAAATTGAAAAGGAGATATGGAGTATGTGAGTATGTGTGAGAATGAAGTAATGGAGGTTAAATAAATAAAGGGGTGGAATGTTTCTAGAAGGTAGTGAGTTGAGTGAGGCGGGGAATCGATAATAAGACGAAAAGAACGTTTAAACGGAAAGTGGTGAGACACTGAGACGTGAGACGGACCCATTGGGCCATTGGCCGTATTTTGTTTTGATTTCTTCAAGTTGACGGTTTTCTCTTTTGTAACGGACACGGTGTGCTTTAACAAAATAATGGATGGTATTAAAGTGCCTTTTGGCATAACATGATAAAATAGTAAAAAGTATACCTATATATAATTTTGTTTCCATTGTAAAATAGATTATGTTTATTTATTTCAAATTTAAAATAGATCTAATACAAATTAGGGTTTGTTGGCGGCAATTTTTTTGGAATTTTAAGAAATTTTAAATTTAAAAAAAGAATCAAACAAAAGAAAAGATGTTGGGAACGCAAGCTTATAGTTTTCGTTTTAAACAAAAAAACTATTAATTGGAATGTTGCTACATGAAATAGTGTTTAAGAAAAAGTTCATGCATCATATAATCATTTTACTATATCACTTTTAAAAATATAACTTATACATTTATTTTTATTAGGATTCGAATTTATATTTTTACATTGATTAACCAATTATAATAAAAATTGATCACAATAATTATTAAAATAGAAAGTGGTCACGACGAAGTAACCATAACTTAGGCTAAGTGGAGTGGAGGTATAAGCATTTAGCTGTCAGATGACATTTTTTTGGAGTACAGTTCCCTTTGGACGACATGCCAAGAAAACCAAGATGGCTTACATATCTCTCTCTCAATAATCATCCGATACCGTTAGCCTTAGATATAGACATCAAATATATTGTAGTTATTGTATATTGGATAAAACTCAACTTCAAGTCAATAGGAAGATATCAAAGTATTGCTAATTTCTGATAATAAAGACTACTCCAATATTGCAAACCAACTAGAAATTAACTTAAAGTCGTTAAATAACTTTCCTCTGAACAAGTTGTTTATTATATTAAATTGTGTTCATAATGATATTGTTACTTTAACATTGAATGTCTACACCCATGGTTTTACTATTAGACTTCGTATGTTTGTTATATGACTTTTGATTTTTGTAATGGAGGATAATTACTCATTACTCATAAACAAATAAAAGATACTCATAAACAAATAAAAGATACCAGCTGTCCGCTTCAATCTTCAATCTTCCAACTTCCAGCTAGTTTTACAAAACACTCCTTTAGTCTTTTTTTTTTTATTAATTTTTTATTCAAAATTACATAGATTGTTAAGTTAATCAATTCACATGAACTTCCATGAATGTCACATTGATTTCACATAATATGATAATAAACTCATATTATAACACGAGATTCACATGTATAATTCTATTACATCTGAAATCATATTATTCACCTAGAAACTAATAAATTTTTGTTTAAATAGAAAAGTTAGATCGAACATTAAACAAGTTGAAAAAAAAAATTCTAACAAAAAACCTATAACAATATCGGCATCAAAATAAAAACGATGTTTATTTTTATATAACTTACTTGATTTAAACATTATTGTGTTAGTAAAAAAATGAATTATATGTACCAGAAATATCGCTAGATATATTTTTACTATTCAATATTATATATTATCTAATAATTTGGATCCACATAAGTTAATACTTTAAATAGTTAAAAACCCATAATCTACAAAATAACATATATTTAGCGTTCATTTATTAGAAATTACAAATTTCAAATCATTCCGTATATATTTTGTCGATGTTAACCTATCTCCATGTTAATTCAACGTTTGAATCGATTACATTACGTTACTTGAAGAAAAAGGTAAGTAAAGCTCAAATAGATCGTTCTCCATCAGGTTTTCTTTAGGTGTCCTTCCGTCATATCCTTACCATCCATTATACGTTTATTTTTGCTAACGAAGACCCTTCAACAATACGGGCAATGAGGCATGGGCAAACGTCTTGACATTATTGGAAACAAAAAAGAACACATCAACTTGCATTTTGCTTTTCCTTTTATCATATAGTGTCATGATAGGTATATTAGATATTTACAGCAAAAATTTCCATTTAAAGAAAGTGGTGTTGCCAGCCATTAGAAGCTTCTATGAACATGTTTTGCATGCCTACATACGGATACATGCATTCGTAACATGCATCCATGGTAGTAATGTTGTCCATTTTCTATATATATATATATATATATATATATATATATATAGTAATTCATATTCATATTTTATGAACATGACTAGGTTTTATGGAAAACAAAAGAATACTAAAAAATTCTTAAAAATCATAAAATGCATAAAAAAAATACTTAAAGATCACAAAACTTATTTTTTTTATTTTATATACCAAAAAATCGCACCTTTTTATTAAAATTCGCTGAAAATTTTTTTGAAAAAAAAAAATAAAAAAAATTCGATTTTTTATTTTTTTCAGCGAATTTTAAAAAAAAACAGCGATTTTTGGTATATAAAATCAAAAAAAGTTTTATGATGTCTAAGTATTTTTTTTATGCATTTTTATGATTTTAGGGTTTTTTTGTTTTCCATATATATATATATATATATATATATATATATATATATATATATATATATATATATATATATATATATATATAGTGTAAATAACAAGAAATCTTATGCTAGTTTCACAAACAATTAAGATCTAAAAAATGAGATCTAAATAGATCTGAGTCATTCTCTAATAATTCTCAAGAACATCAACATCTCCCTTCCATCCCTCCTTCTACCATCGGCAACCTCCTACCATCGCTGCCGCCGTTGATGTCCACCCTACCAACGGTTAGTCGGAATCTAAGTCGGCACCTATGCTGCCATCCAGATATGTTATTTGTACTCCACGTGCACCAGATCCATCACTAGCGTCATCCTCATACATCTCGAGATCTGTGGATTTCTGCCGGTAACCGCCACTACCAAAGACAACGACAACACCACTGATGACGTCTAAGGTCAGATCACGAGCTCCGACGTGCGCTGAGAACAGATCTACGACCGTCGGTGAGTGGCGAAGCCAAATCTATGAGCTCCGGTGAGCGCCGACGACTGGCACCACCATCGACGACGTCCTCACTATCGTTTCCTCCGACGACTTCTACCACCTCCGTCTCCCCTCTCCCCTATCGCCAACGAAAACACATATCGGATGAGATTTGATGAAAACACACTGTTGAACCAATACAATCGTCACCACTATTACCAACGAACCTTTTCCATCACCGTCGATGTCGGCCAGTTACCGCCATCACTATCAAAACTCACCGGATCGTCGACCACCATATGCTCTACCACCGTCTCAAACCTTCGTTTCCTCCAATTCTGCTACATTTCACTGCCGGTGAGTTGAAAACGTCGATGATGTTATAATTGTAAAAAGGAAGATGAAGATATGATTTGTGTAGAGAGATATGTTGATATTATGGAGATGCTCGAACTAATGTTCATTTTTCTTCGGTGAATATTTTTTTGTCATTTAAGTTCAAATAGTTTCCTAATTACTAGCTAACATATAGCTTTTTTACTAGCTTACATATATGGCGTGTTCGGCACGGAGCGTTTGAGAGCTTGAAACTTCTAGCGTTTGACAAAACGCTTCGTTTTGAACAGAAATCCTTGTTTGACACTACAAGCTTCTAGCGTTTAGTTTAAACAAAACGCTCCAAATTCGAATGCTACTTCATGTAGCGTTTAACAAACCGCTAGCAGCTAGAAGCTACCCGTTACCCACTACAAGCTACCCGCTACCAGCTATTTTTGCCGAACATACTCATAACCATATAGATTCTTTTACCTTTATTGATTCAAACAGATGGAGTTATTATTGACAATTCGTTAATAGCTTTTTCATTAATTGTTTGAACCATCGACATATTTTTATTATTCTAACAAATCAAAGATTTGATTTTGCAATATTAATAATTGAGACATATATGAATCAAATAACTTTAAAATAATAAAAGCATTTGATAATTCCTTTTATATATATATATATATATATATATATATATATATATATATATATATATATATATATATATATATATATATAGAGGTTCAAATATGGATAAACAAATATTGTGTGGATGTAGGGATTAATATAAGCTAAATATTATTTAATTTTAATAAATATTTAATTAAATCATCTACCCTTTAATTTAGATAAATTACTCTATTTAAAACCATATCAAACCTTCGACCGTATCCCTCCTTCCTGTTTCCATTGACTAACCCCATCAGAGCTTCGTATTATTTGAAACCATCATCGTATCGCCGGCGATCTAAATCAGTTTTTTGTCGGCAATAGATAAGCTTTTCACAAAACTCCATTACTTTTGAATTAGTAACAGGTAAATTTACTCCTTTATTCCACGTTTGATCTTAAAATTTCATCTTTGATGCCACAAACATGGGTATGATCCAAAAGGATTTTTTTTTCTGGTTCTTGTTCTTCATGTCAACACCATAAGAAAAAAATTCTTTAATTCATTTTTTTGGGCTTCTATTTTGGTGGTGAGATAAAAAAAAACTGTGCTTTGTTTTACTTTTGCTCGACAGAAACAAACAAGAAAAGATAAAAAAAAAATCTTCTTCACGTCAAAAAAAAAAAAATGACGTCAAAAGCTATAAAGAAATCATCTATAATTTTTTTAGCTTTTATTTAGGTCTTGATATATAGAAAAAAATTGGTTATGGTTCATTTTAATAAACTAGAAAAGAAAAAAAAAATTGTTATAATTCCACTATGCAATTAGAGATTCTATGTTTTTCTTTTTATTGTGTGTATTTTCAATGATCATGATCTAGGTAGCTTGGTTTAGTTGTTTGATTATAAAATAAAACTTGAACCCCACAAAGAAATTTATCAAATGGGTGTGTCACTGTGTTGCACACCACCTGTTTGTGTTTTTGTTCCAGGCTTTTTTTCATATGCGTTCTAATTGTAATATCTTTAAATAGTTTCTCATTGGCTTATTCACCATTGTTGTTGTAGGCTCTTGAAAAGAGAATTGGTCCACCTTACAAAAGCAGCATCATTCTTTCAGAATATCAAGGTTCATTTTACAAAAGCAACATCATTATTTCGGAATAGAAGGGTACACCTTACAAAAACAGCAACATTCTTTCAGAATAAAAGGGTTCACCTTACAAATACAACATCATTCTTTCTTCAAGGAGAAATCTGGCAGAATGCATTCTTAAATTTTATATCAGTTTTTGTACTTTCAAGAATTGCATATATCTTTTTCCTAAGAATGGGTGACGTTGGTTAGAAAATGAATGAAATTTAGTTTTATTCTTTAAGAATTTATTTATATTTTTCATGTTTGTTGTAAGTCATTAAAGAACGTGTATTGTTGTTTGTCAGAATGAATGTTGTTAATCTTTAACTCTTGGTTCAAAAATTTGTTATTCTTCAAAATGTTCATTCAATCAGATTTTGTATTCAATCAGAATATGTATTCTATTCGAATATGTATTTTAAACTCTTGGTCCACATTCATTCCTACATCCACACAATACTTATCATCCACATTATAACATAGCCCTATCTATATATATATATATATATATATATATATATATATATATATATATATATATATATATATATATATATATATATATATATCAATTTTTAATGTGAGATTATTACGTGGAAATTTTACGATAAAATATTATATAGTCTTAAAATTTGGTACATAAGGTGTTTAATAAAATGTTTTAGTGGATTAGTATAAGTCTTTAAAATGTAAATAAATGTATGAACTAATGTATTAAACTGTAAATGAGTGTCTGAACTATTGTATTAAACAGTGAATCAGTGTCTGAAATGTTGTATTAAATCGTGAATTTATGGTATTAAGTTGTGAATTTTGTAATAAAAATAGTTTTATTTTGATGGTTTTTCCCTTTTGTTAAGGTGTGGATTTAATGTTTAAATATCTAATTTATTGTTTGTTTTTTGTTAATCTTAATTTTAACTGCTATTAAGTCGTGAATCCAAGTTTGTTTTCTTATTTATTATAATATTTGCATAAAATATTAAGTTGTGAAACCACTGCTATTAAGTTGCGAGTTGAAGTTTGTTTTCTTATTTTTATAATATTTTCATAAAACTGGTATTCATAACTTATGGTTTATGGTTTTTATATTGTGAACTGAGTATGAATTTGTGTTATTATGTTAGTTTTTATATAAAAAAAATATTATTTAGGCTTTTTAAGTTGTGATTTTTATGTTTTAATGTTTCAGTTATTGTCTTAAGTTGTGAATTTTTCATATTAAGATGTGACTTTTGTGTTTTAAACTGTAAGTGGCTGCATTATACTGTGAATTTTCTGTTAAACTATAAATTGACTATATTAAGCTGTGAATTTTGTGTATTAAACTGTGAATGTGTTAAACTGTAAATTTGTGTGTATTAAACTGTAAATTGTGTATATTGTACTATGAATTGACTATAAGTTAATAATATGGTGGTGAACTTATATATATATTTTTTTGTATATTAAACTGTGATTTTTGTGTTTTAAAATATGAGCTCCGTTTTCGATGTTCTTTATATCCACGCATAGGTGGAGATGTAATCTACAACTTTCGTTTAGACTCCGTCGGCTAATTTTGACTTTATTTTTAAAGTTATATTTTAACAGGTCCGGACATGTAAAGTTCGTTAAAAATTCATAACTTTGTCATCCGACGTCCATTTTCGTCTGTCTTTTTATCGTTGAGCTCCTATTAACGAGATATTCGATTCTCGTTTAGATTGTGTCGGCTAAAAACGGTCGATCTAAGATTCGAATTCCGGATTGCATACTGTTATGTCAAATCTTAGAAAAATCATAACTTCGTCATACGAAGTCAGATTTGGGCATTCTTTTTATGCACGCTCTCGGTTTAACGTATACTATAACTTTCGTTTAGATCGCTAAGGTTAAAAAGTACTTTATTGTAAACTCACTTTTTACGTCACACAATGTCGTGTTAGTTTTGTCGCGAAACTTTGACAGATCATAACTTCTTTGTTATAACTCGGATTTCGGTCTTCTTTATATCTCCGGAATCATTGTCACGACTGCTACAACTTTCTTCATAGATATTGGGTTTATCTATTATTTTATTTTTGACGCTTATTTTTATTCTTAACTTATTATATCTTATAAATAAGTATAATGTACATAAAATCACATAATTCATATAATATTCAAGTACCTCTTTATTACTTCAAAATAGGTTACAATTATTGAACCTAACCATTACATCATCATACTAATGCTTAGCCTAGAAACACGGGCGTTACAAATATACATATGTATAAGAATAAGTATAAGACATATGCATATACATATGCATATGCATATACATATGCATATGCATATTCATATGCATATGCATATACATATGCATATGCATATTCATTGTTACTAATTTGTTTGAATGAAGTTAAGCTTCAGTAAAAAGCAAATTTTTATTTTATAATTTCATCTTCTATTTAAAAAAATATGAGTCAGTCTCGCCAAATACATGTAGATTTTGTTGTGAAAAAGAATCACAACTTTGTTTACATTACAAAAGAATTAAACAAAAAGCAAAAAATATAAACATGAAGGGACAGGGGTATAATGGGAAAAAGATTAATAGTCAACTTCTGTTTTATCAAATTACCAAGAAAAAGATTAATAATCAGCACTCAAAGTAGCCAAATCCCAACTAAATTTCATATGAAAACTAAACCAACAAAACATCCTCTTATTTCTGAAAATAAATATGAGGATTTCTATTTAGGGACTAAGAAAAAAAAGAGAGATTATAGGACAAAAAAAAAAGACTAATCAACTGTAAGTGTCAATCATCTGTTACAATCCACATACAAGACTACTTAGACCTATCAACAAGAAAACATGACAAAAAAAATAAAATTTCTTGTCATGATAGAACTACATAATACCAATAATGTAAAAAAAATATATGATCATAAGATGTGAAAAAACCCCAGTAAAATAGTAATTTTTCTGAATTCAGATGACCCTAATTTAATAACATATGCATGAAGTGATTCACCAAAATCAGTCCCAGAAGAGGGGATTACAGACACGAAAGTAACCATATCAGGTGTGAAGTGATCACGAGTCATTTTTCTGAATAGCTCAGTTACACCATGTGATTTCTGGTCTTTGAAATATTTAAAATTTTTGATTACTTACAACTTCGAAATCAGGTGATTAATCAAGAAAAAACATATAAGGTGATTACTTACACGTGGGCTTGGAAGTAAAAACTTGCAGGCAAAATCAAGAAAATTCATATAAGGTGATTAATTATAGAAATACAAACAAATTTGTGTGTGAACATAGGTGTAGGTAGGAGAAATGGTCAATGAGTACAAAAAATTTCAAGAAAGTTGCAAAAGAATAGATAGATAAATGATGAGTTTACTTCTGAAGAACAGATGATCAAACAATGAAAAAACTCACAGGGGAATTAAAACAAACACTTGGAGGGCGTGAAAATAAACAAAAGAAACCAAAAAAGAAACCAGAAAGTTGTGCATAAGAAGAACATAATTCATCTAATTGCTTAATGGATCATATTTTGAAGGTTTGTGTGAAAAAATAGGGGAAAAAAAGCAATGCATCATTCAAGTGCATAAATTTTTTTTTTAATTTTACTTCAAATTAATTAGTTTGATGATCATAAAACATGGAATTATGACTAATTTTGAGTAATTTCAATGAAAAATAAATCAGTCCTAAACATTAGAAGAAAGAAAAGAGATTAGATCAATAAAATATCATGTCTACCCAACATATACCTAAAATAAAATGTTGTTTTTGATAAAATTTATAGTCAACAGTTCGTGCAAATCACATATCAAAGAGAATTTTGGTTGTACAGAGTGGTGATGACGATGGATACTCCGAGAAGGAGAGCCACAGCCTTCGAGATTCTGATGACTGTGATGCAGAAGGAGTTGGGGATTTCATACAGAGTGGGGAATTTCCAACGTTAGGAAACAATAGGGCGAAATTGATTGATGATGCAGAAGGATTGGTGAAAATAATAGCGAAAAAACAATGAATTTCTAGGTTCGTTGGTTCGCTCCATTTTTAGGAATTCGCTGTTTAACTTGATTCTATATTGAACAATATGATTTCAATATTTCTACATGTATGTTTTATATAAATAATTTTATTATTTATTTTTTTGTTTAGTATTATTTTAATTATTGCTATAGTTAAATAAATGGGAAACTATAAGCATAAGCTCAGTATCATTTGCAGTCCATATCATCATGTTGATATCATATTGGTCAGTATAATTATTTAACTTAAACCATATATTTAACTACATTGAAAGTCCATCATAAAATTACAACATTTTAACTTCCAACTTATTATGGTTAAACTACTACAATTGAATGGTTCTTTAGAAATTTTCTGTTTTTGCAAAATATTTTTTGTTTTTGCAAAACATTTTTTTCTATATTTACATATATGTTTTCATGTATCCGAATTAAAAAACATAAAAGAATTGTTTTTATATATTCGTTTTCACAAATCACTTTAACTCTATTGTTAATTACTTCTTGTATTTCTTGTATATTGTATGCACATAAATTTTTCGCAACACACAAAATCCATTTTTTTGTGAGTTAGTTCAAGAATGTTAAACATTTAAGATATGCCAATGAAAGAGGATATTATAAAATATATCTCAAAGGTGATTACACCTTTATCAACTTTGTGTATTGCTTTAAAGTTTTTATTGCAAAAAAGGAATGCAAGGCGATTAAAAAAATTTATGGTTTTTTTATTATTATATTACAATTGGTGTATGTTTGGTTTATGATTTTTTACATGTGTAGCATTATTTACAGAATATTTTGAGGTTGCATAAAATAACAATAAATATAAATATGTATTTTAACCTTAAGTTGAACCCAAAGCTTTCTTCACCGAATAAGGATTTTGCTGCATACTACTTTAAACAAAAATTGAACATACAACTTTTTTCACCGAATCAATCTTCTTGAAAAGTTCTTTCATGAGAGGATAACAATGACCAGATGTTTAACTTCTTTCTACTTAAGCCAACCATGACATGAGCAAATTTAAACAACGAAACATTTTTATGTTGCATCATTACTAACCTAAAACTCCAAAATTAAATCACAATAGAAACATCATGA